CCATGATACAAATTCTCTTCACTTTCCAGCTGCCCTTCTGTGGCCCCAATGTCATTGATCACTTCATGTGTGACTTATACCCATTACTGGAGCTAGCCTGCACTGACACTCACATCTTTGGCCTTTTGGTGGTTGCCAACAGTGGGTTCATCTGCATCCTTATCTTCTCCTTGTTGCTCGTCTCCTATGGGGTCTTCTTGCTCTCTCTGAGAACCCGTAGTACTGAAGGGCAGCAGAGAGCTCTCTCTACCTGTGGATCTCACATTGCTGTTGTGGTTTTGTTCTTTGTCCCATGCATATTTGTGTATGCACAACCTCCATCTGCTTTCTCCTTTGACAAAATAGTAGCCATATTTTACACCATCCTAACTCCCTTGCTCAATCCTTTGATTTACACATTCAGGAATAAGGAAGTGAAAAATGCCATGAGGAAAGTGTGGAACAGAATAATAGTGGCTAATGAAAAATAAAATGTTGATCTTTGAAAAAATTTAAAGTCAAGATTGAAAATTCAAGTTTTCTTATTAGATAAACACTCTATGTGGGTGAGTCTTGTTTGGCAGGTGGTAAAGCAATGTAATGTAAAAAGCACTAACATAAGGGTCAGGAAATAATGTTTTCCCCCTTAGATTACTTATGAACTCTGATCTGGCAGCTCAGCATCCTCAAATGTAAATTGAAAAGAGTTGAATTCTATGCTTACTTGGAATTGAAATGTCAAAAAAGAATGAAATGAGAAATTGTCTCCCAGACTTCTTGCCACTCAGTAGATGCTTTGGAAAACCTTTGTGCAGGGAAGACAAAACTACCTTAGAGATTAGAAATGGGAACTTACTCAAACTATTTCACATGGAAAAACCTGTATATTTAGGATGCGGATTTCAGCGACTGATGAAAAAAAAATCACGACTCAGGAGTGGAAGAGATTAGAGCATTCACAGAACCTCAGCTGTAGGTGTTCTTGTATCACGTCTCTATTTCAAGTGTTTAAAGATAGCAACTTGCCCCTTGGATTTTATGAGCCCCCTCTCTAACTACTTGTATTTTTTGAGAGACCTCATCACTTTCTAATATACCATGTACTTTGTTTACTTATTATTATTATTATTTTTGTCTGCCTTCTGTCATGTAATGTAAGCTATGAAGCAAGGAATTATTTTTTTTCATTTGTTGATTGATGTAAAATTAGTAATTAGTGTCTAGAACAGCCTGATATAGGAGCTCAGTAATTATCTGTTGAAAAAATGAATAAGTGAGATATCTTCCCATATTTAAATGTAAGCCTATCTTTAACATTAACACACTAATATTTCAATTTGGCAAAGTGATATAGTTATTGCTTCTATTAGCATTTTGATATTGATGAAACTATAAATCATGCTATGATATAACACAGACCAGAGTATTTAAAATAACTCTGTATTCTAGTTAATTTCCCCAGATCTAAATCTGAATATAAGGTCTAAAAGTTCTAATAGAAAATAAAGGCACTTTTTGTCTATCTACTATTTTTCTCATTTTATTCTCAATTTTGTCTCCTACAAAATTAAATTTTGCTTTTAGTGATTTGACTTTAATTCTGAAAATATTTCTTATTTCAATAACATTGTCTACTACCTCAAGTTTGGATGTTAGAGTGGGTTTAATCTGGCCAGAGGGTCTGTATTATTCATTGGAAACCTCACCTTAGTAAGCTACAACTTCCATTGAACAGAGTTTAAATTAGGGCCCTAATTTATCCCGAGACTACATGTGAGGCAGGGGTGGACAAACTGAAGATAGTAGAAACCTCAGTGGTGATTTATCCCTATTTTCACAGTTTCTGTGACGGAATAACCATTATCAACTGCATTCAATAAAGTTCTGGTCTTGATATAACAGAACCAGGATGCCAGTTGGATAATCTAATCATTCAGTCTGCAATGAATTTTAATGCCCTCAGAGTCAATTCACTCAGATTGAAGGAACTTCCAGAGACCACTGACTCACCTTCTTGCCTTTGTCCAGCTCAGTGCTCTCCTCTGAAACTGCCCTTTGAAACATTTTCTGCCCCCAGAACTGAACAGCTTAGCCATCCCCTCAAAGGCGGGTGTTCATTCAGGGCTCTGGGCCTGGGGAGTGTAA